AATGACGACACAAGGGCTTTCTTTGGGTACACCTTCAGCAAACTAGCCGTATAAATCTATATAATAGTTCGCCGCGGTGGGCCAGTTGCTAGGGTGTTCGGCTACTGACCCAAAGGTCGCGTGTTCGATCCAGGCCGTTGCGGTCGCATTTCCGAGGAGGCGAAACGGTAGAGGTCCGTGTACTGTGCGATGAGAACACCAGAGCGTCGAAATTTCCGGAGCCTTCCACTATGGCGTCTCTCATAATCATATCATAGTTTTGGGACGCGAAACGTGAGGTTAATTATTATCATTATTATTACTTTATTATTATTATTATTATTATTATTATTATTAGCACTTATAATCATCTGATAGAGCTAATTTGCATTGTTTGCAAATATCGTTAGAGCTGAAGGGGCTCTCACGATATTTTTTACGTAGTCAGGCTGATGATGATGTTATATAGCGGCTGACTGGCGACCGATGTAGCGGGGCTTTTGTCTCCATGCATTACAAGATCATTGTGCGTGAACTTTGCATGTGCTCGAGACACTGATCTGCTGCTCGGCATTTATTTGCACGTTGCGCGCACGCGCGCGGGCCACGACTGACTTTTCCCTTTCCTCAATTTTTAGAGTGGACGCGGCCAGCAACTGCGGCGGGCCCCTCTTAAGGGGGTGTCTGACAAGTTCTCCAGGACCAAATAAAGTTCATTTCACTAGATGCGAAGCAGCTCTTTGACTAGCCTGTGTAACCTTGTCCCTCCGCACCAGGCGGTGTCAAGTAGGCCACTCCTTCTCTTGCGGTGTGCGCCTGTGACGTCACTCTCTCCCTAGCCTGTCGCCGCGTGTCATCTTTCTCGCTTCACCCTCTCCACCACTCGCAACGCTCCAGCCCACTCCTCACGTCGGCATAATCTCCTCATCCGCGCCACCTCTCGCCATCTGTCGGCGAGAAAAAGCCGCGAGTAGGTGCGCTGCGCGCGCTCACGCGCCGTTGTCTAGCCCGACCATGGTCTCGCGGCGCCGCAATGTGGACAGCGCGCCGCTGCTTGCCGCGCGATCACACCGACGGGCGGGACGCCACCAGGACATGCTTCTCGCTAGTGTACGCGTACCTTTCTCGGCCGTCGCCGGCGTTGCGGGTTAGCGAAGCCGATCGCGTTCGCGAATAGCGACGTTGCGCCTGAAACACCGACGAGACGCGAGCCAGGGAAGCGGAACGCAAGCATCGCCTTCCCTGGCAAGCGTCGGCATTGTAAGACCAATGACACCAACGAGGTGCGAGTCAAGAACGCCGATCGCATTCGAGAATAGAGACGGCGCGTGGGTAACACCGACGAGACGCGAGCCGAGGAAGCCAAGCTTAAGCGTCTTCAACGCGTCCCTCCTCTCGTGTCCTTGCGTTTCAAACATGACGCCGAGTCTCGTTGCAAACCGTTCTACCAGCAACCGCGTCGACGCCCGTTTCAACCGGGTCGACGCCGTGCGCACCGCTGCTGCTTCGCATCCCATCAGGGTTCCCTTCGGGGAGGTGGTCCATAGTTTTTTTTTCTCCCCATCGGCTCTCAATCGGTAATGTACGCGCGCACAAAAAAAAAATTGCGCAGCGCAGCAAGGCGAGCAGCAGGGATGAGAGAGCGATTATTTTCGGGAAGAGACGGTGGTGAAATTCCCAAAAGTCGGGCATAATTAATTCTCTCGGGCCGCACACATCGTCGGCCAGGCGCATGCGGCTGGAACGGCGGGAGCGCGGCTGCGGCAACGGCGAGAATCAGGCGCAATCCACGCCGTCGTCGCCGTGCGCTTTCTCTCGTGCGCGAGCCGGGTGCAGCGGCGCTTTTAATTAACCGCCCTGTCTCTTCGACGATGGCGCACGGCGACTTCAACTCGCCCCCTCTTCCCTCTTGAGCAGGCACGTGCTACTTGCAAGGTGGCTGATTAATTAGTACCTTCGACTTTACGCGCCAGTTGTCGCCACTTTTCTTTGTAACAAATGTGACAGCAACTTGGCTTATTTTTGTTCAATTGCAGCCGCGTCTCCACTTTAACGCTTATGCGGCGCCTCCTCTTCCTAAAAGAAGCGTCGGGCGATGTCTGTTTCGGCGTTACGAAGCGTTATAAGCATCCACGTATCTCTCTCTTTGTGCTCCAAAGGAGGTATTCCACCAATCAATGCTATCACTCCTACATAGCTTTTGACATTTCTGCTCCCCCCTCCTAATGGGGAGGTTGTCAGATTGGGAGCATTAGTTCGAATTTCTTTGTCCAATTAGACAACAGCAGTTATATGTACCAGCTTATATGGATCTGAATGGTGGAGTGTTGAACACGTAACTTGTCCTTACTTTATGCCGGAGAGGGACTAACATGAGGCAATTACAGAAACCTAACCTACTATCTATCTATCTATCTATCTATCTATCTATCTATCTATCTATCTATCTATCTATCTATCTATCTATCTATCTATCTATCTATCTATCTATCTATCTATCTATCTATCTATCTATATATATATATATATATATATATATATATATATATATATATATATATATATATATATATATATATATATATAAAGTTCAGGCTAACTTGTTTCCTATATATGAAACAGCAGCTGCTGACGTGTCTCACACCCCGCCGCGGTGGACTAATGTACTCGGCTGCTGACCCGCAGATCGCGGAATCAAATCCCGGCTGCGGCGGCTGCATTTCCTATGGAGGCGGAAATGCTGCAGGCCTGTGTGCTCAGATTTGCGTTCCCGTTAAAGAATCCTAGGTGGACAAAATCTCCCCTACGGCGTCTCTCACAATCATATGGCGGTTTTGGGACGTTAAACCCCACATATCATCATCATATTCATCTGCTGATTTCATATACAGCAGCAGCTGTATATGAAAAGATTAGGATCAGTCAGCTGCGTTCTGGCGTCACATCACTGGATACGGCGGCGTGAGGTCACAGGCTGCAAGATGACGTCGTTAACCCTTTACTGCCTAATGTCGCGAATTCGTGACACACCGAAAAACTATGAGCAAGCAAGCCTGCGAATGCGTTTAGCATTTAATTCCGTCTGTCAGGTACTCACAGAACACGTGCTTTCAGCGTGAAAAATCTAGCGCTGTCTTGTGTAATGTATTTTATGCTATAACCAGATGTTTTGTAGTTGACTGCAGAGAGCGTGAAGTGCGTGCAAGAGTGGTCCCTCCTTTGTTCTTTCTCGCCGTGTTGACGCAAGTTTAATCTTCACTCATTTCGTCTATTTGGTGTGCACGCGCTCAAGATATGGCACACGACATGTTATGCAGTTCTGAAATGCGTTTTTCCTTGCAACGTCCTTGTTTCTGTGACATGTGAAAAATTCGCAACATGCATAAAATTATGCATTAATAGTGCATTTTAGATAATTTAATTGCGGACTCAGTTAAACGTTGTTATTTAAATATCTTCTTTTTTCGTTCTACTGCATAGGTATATATGCGTGGTTTGAAGACTAAAGTTTTTGTTGTAAGTCAGCGCTCTGTATGTGTATTTTCTTCGCCATGCATGGTCTCTCGTTTTTCGCGCTGCTTGTTTTTTCAACTATGCCGTACAAACGCTCCCAAGCAACCAGTTTAGTTGGTATTTAAAGTTCGAGAATGAAAACATTTTTTAAATTTTTCTTTGGCAGTTTTATAATTCAGATATTAAATGGTTAATAATACTAATATGTGGGGTTTCACATGCCAAAACCACCATAAGATTATGAGAGACGCCGTAGTGGAGGGCTCCGGGAATTTCGACCACCTGAAGTTCTTTAACGCGCACGCGCTGACACCGCACCTTCGCCATGCAAGCGCCGCTGCCGGGATCAAACCCACGATTTTGGGGGTCAGCAGCCAGGCACTGTAACGTTATGCTGTCGAGGGTAGCCGAGATGACCTCGTTAACTTCAAGTTTCGCCCAGCGGCATCTCCTTCAGGGAACAGCGCGTGCTGCAACGAGATGCCACCCCTTTCTCTACGCGGCCGTACACTCACTCAACGGTGCATCACGTGCCGGCCGGCGTTTATACATCCACGCCACAAAACGTTGAAGAAACACACTGAAACAAACACAAGAAAATGAACGAGTCCTTCATCGGCCGTTTTCGCTGTATACAGTGCACTTTGACGGCGGCTCGCGGACTGAGAGACCACTAGCACGGAGGCTTTATAAGATATTGGGGCGTCTGAGAATGAGAAGGGATAACGGGGGAACGGGGGGGAGGGGAAGCATCTTAAGGAGGCGTGGCTGTGCACGCCGATTCAGCTGCCGTCGGTTTCGGACACGACTGGCTTCTTCTTTCCACACGAAACTTGCGCTAAAGAAGCCGAGGCAGTATACGCTCGGTGAAGAGAGAGAAAGAACATTTTATATCGGGACAAAACAAAAATAAAAGCTGAGGGAGGAAGCATGGATTTATAGAAAACGATACATAACGTAAAACACAGCGTGCCGAAGATAAGTACGAAGGTGAATTGGTTGGCAAAAAGAAAAAAAAAACAGATAAAGGAAAGAAAACGTTCGAAGAGCGAGTGCGCAGCACCTTCCGAGATTCGTGTTTGCTCTCCACTTGGCGGCCCCTCTTCTCGGGAGAAGCAGCACAAGAAGTGTTCCGCGGCACGTCACGACATCGATTTCTTAGCTTCTTTGTCTCCCCCCCTACCTCTTTCACAGACTCGTTGGTTCGCATTTTGCTCGTATTACTACCTCACTGAAACGAGCTCTGCAGCAAAGTGCTCCTTGCGTTTCTCAGCCGCGATTCGCCCGCCGCCCGACAGCGCGGCGATGCGAATGCGCCATCTGCGGCAGACGTCTTTATATGCGCCGCAGCGGCCGAAGTGCACGGCGTGCGCTGGGAATTAACGCGGCAGCCGGCCGCTCCTCTCTTCGCTCTCTCGCCGCCTCCGTTCCTTCACGCCTACTCTCTTTCTCGCTCCAAAGATTCTCGTCGATGAGAGCGCCACCACACCGCGCGTGCCAGTGCGCACCGATGATTCCGGCGCATAGCTTTCGGTGGCACTGTGTTCGCGGGCTTGTGTAGTTGGAAGATTCATTTTCCAGTGGAAGCGAGGATGCTGAAACAGAGTGAAGGTACCATTAATTGTTTGGCGTATTTTTCTTTTAAAAAAAGTCTCGTTAACCCAACCAGGTCTCGATTAACTGGTCTAGCGATCAGATGTGCTCGCATGTGCATAGCTCCCTAAACTTTTTTTTTTCTTCCTGAAGTTAATTATGTACCCTGGTGCTCCGAGCAGATCCACATCGCTATATAGTATGTGCAGGGTGATTTGATTGATATCTGGGGTTTAACGTCCCAAAAACCACTATATGATTATGAGAGACGCCGTAGTGAAGGGCTCCGGAAATTTCGACCACCTGGGGTTCTTTAACGTGCACCCAAATCTGAGCACACGGGCCTACAACATTTCCGCCTCCATAGGAAATGCAGCCGCCGCAGCCGGGATTTGAACCCGCGACCTGCGGGTCAACAGCCGAGTACCTTAGCCACTAGACCACCACGGCGGGGCATAGTATGTGCAGGGTGTTGAAACTTTATAAAGCACCTGTGGCAGATAAAAAAAAACGAAATAACTGAGTTAGAATAGTTAACGAGGTGGACATCATTGGCACAAGAAATCGACATACATAACTGAAAAAAGCACTGAAGTTTTCTAATTAGATTTTAAAGTTTACCGAGAGCACGCATGTATCAATTTACTTATTATAGACGTTGAGACTGCACGCAAGGCATATAAACTCTAGAGATAGTTCTGCAGATGGCACGCAGTTGCGACAGGCATGCAATGTCTTTTCGATTTAATAAAAAAAAAACCCGGATATAGTGAATTGTTTTAAAAGTTAAAGAATAAGTATACAAAAACCGATATTACCCTGAGAATTCGTTCCGAATCGGCACGATTCGTGAACTCCTCGACTGCACTTTGTTAGCTGCGATGTCTGCGTCATTCAAATGTAGTAATTAGTGGATTCCACATTTCGGTTTCTTGAGTCAATAATGCCCGCTTCTTTGAGCATATGCCACACGAGTGACATTAATTGTGGTGTCGGCTGCCACGGCTATAGGTGACCTTTAATGAAAGAACAACACCAAAACAACTGCGGTCTTCGCAGAGACATGTACGCATTTCATTGCGTATACCCATTACGTCATCTTGTCAGCACAGTGTGCGAAATAACAGAGCAATATAACTTCGTTACATTTACGAAGAATTGTTCAACGCGATTCATGTCATGAAGACTGGTGACTACACTTGTCATTTCAGAGGTTCTTTTTTTTTTCTAAACATCCTTTGTCGTATTAAGGAACTACAGAGCTGTCAACCATGAAAGTCTTTTTTTTTTATTGAGTGTTCATATTGCGAAACATTGGTGGCGCCTTTTTTAGTCGGTAGATCGTTTTGATTAACTAAACTTAATCACAGTACGAAGTTATGCATGTATTAAACGAATAACCAGTAGTCATCGTATTTAGTACCGATAGTATACTATGAATTTCGATTGACTTTTTATTCGCGTACTTGCCCTCGCATTCGCGGAAGAATTCTTATTATGCACCAGAGATCTTCGAATGGAGGCCGGCAGGCGTCAAGGAATCGCGACATATTACGTGCGAAGGCTGTTTGTAACCCCAGTTCAAACAGCATGTTGCAGTCGCGAAACGAAAGAAACGCTTTGCGAATACGGCCTGAACCGGCTGTTTACTCCAGATTCCGGCTATCTATGAAGACGTGTAGTGCCTGCGCCTCTATTTCGATTTAGTGGAGCACATCGATCGATGTCCTATCTACTACTTTTCAGGAATGAGCCAAGTAAGAACGAGAGAGGGAGAGAGCAAGAAAGAACGAATGAATGAAAGAATTGAATGAAAGAACAAGAATTAAAAGCCGCAAACAGAAAAAAAAAAACAGCATGCGACTGCCGGTCGAGCGACGGTGCTCGAACGGTCTCGCCGAGGAAAATTTTTCGTCTCGGCCGCAGGTAAACGGGAGCTTGTATAGAGAAGGCGTGCGCTGGACGTTTCAGTTCCTTTGCGATATGGAGGGCGGCTTGAAATGACGTGGAAGGATTCCGAAGCGCCTCCCTTTCCAGATACTCCATTGTGCTCGCATCCTGTCCACGCGCTTCAATCGTGAACTGTGTGCTCACCGATGCCACCATGTCCGTGCGGAATGGATCTCTCATGATACCTCGTTTTCGTAAGGGCGCTTCATTGAAATTCATTCATTGAAATCGCATATGTTGCAGTATGCGCCATGTCCCTCTTTTGCTCACTATGGGTTCCTTGCGCTACGACGTCCCTGAGAGCGCGCGCGCGCACACACACACACACACACATACACACACACACACACACACACACACATATATATATATATATATATATATATATATATATATATATATATATATATATATATATATATATATATATATATATATAGCCTGGAGCTTCCTCTCGCTGGCACCCATTGCGCATGCGCGAGCCACCGTAGCGTGCCCCACATTGCGAGGACGTGTCCTTTTCCCTACTTCCGGCTTCACAAAATGTGACGTAACGGCCTGTCCTGACTATATTCATTCCTCCATGCGAAGCTGCGACCATGACGTCACGCGAGAGCTATGCTTCCGACGACGCACAAGGCTGGTCACAAGTTGATTCCAAATTGTATTTCTTCACTAACGAGAGTCACATTTCGTGGAAAAGGAGCAGACGTTCTTCACTGTTTTCGTCTTTCATCGGAGGCGTTGACCTTCTCCATGCCAAATTAACCTGTCTCTCTCTCTCTCTATCTCTCTTATAACGCTCAAAAAATGCCTCGCAGCTGACGTTAGACAGACGGCTGGAGGAGAAGTGGCAAGAGGACTCGGGATAGTCGCGCGCTTGCTTCAAGGTTACGGCAAGGTTAAAGTTGAGAACACGGCGCTCAACACTTGCGAAGATGGATGGCTTAGGCACGTCAACGATGCCAGGCGAGCGTTACGACAGCAGCAGAGTTTCGGGTGAGGCAAAAGGAGAACCACGTTACGCTGCCGGAATCAGTGTGCAATATAGCGCCTCTAGGGACAAACTCGACGATAACAATAGGCCTGCGTAAAAGTCAGACAGGTCTCTTTAGAAAGAAAGGTATGAGGAAAGAAAGCCTAGTGAGTATGCGGTATATTGAGCCAACTGCACGCTGGTAAAAGTCAGCTGCCGCACGAAGCAGGTGCGATTGAAACCAGAAACCCAGAGGGGAATTGAAGGCCGAAAGCGCGGAAGGGGAGATCACGAAGTTTTTCGCTCGAAAGTGATATTTCCAATTAGGCAGCCCACTGTCTTCATAAAATTTCCAAAATCAAGTTTTTCTAGCATTGACTTCCTTTGGTGAACACGGACTCGAATAAACGCGACGCCCGGCTAATTCGTTCTTTCTAGAAATTATAATTATTTCTTGTTCCATGTCAATAACAGGTGTCATTGAAATGTGCTCCTCCGTGCCCCATCTATACATGATCACGTGCTTGAGGCCGCCTCGACTAGGTCGCACAGCAATTCTAAACCGATAAGTGCAGGCATCTGTACAGATAGAGGCCGATCGCCCGATTTTCGCAACGCGCCAGAAAGTTTTTGTCTTTCAGAGGCAAATCGAGGGCAACGGAGTAACGTATGATCCTGCTGGAGCACCGTCCTCGTCTTTCGTCGGCTCACGAGACAGTCTGAGGACTACAGGCCTATGGGAACGTCTGTGACTTTTGTATAGTGCCACCGCTGCATACGCGTCTGCTGCATGTACTGACATTTTCTCGTCTCTTTCCCTTCTCTCTCCTCTCTCATCTTCATACTCCCTTTTCCCATTCCCCCGGCGTAGGGCAGCCAACCGGGCATGTGCCTGGTTAATATCCCCGCCTTCTCTCTTGTTGTTCCCCCTCCTCAAGCACGGGTGAAGGGCCGCGAAGCCTCATACCGATGTATTATTCGTAAGAGCCGCTCCTACAGTAAATATACTTCGTGCGTATTGCTGGCGATGGCCGTAAACATTATATATGTACGTGGATGTCCACAGGCGGTACTTTAGATAGATAGATAGATAGATAGATAGATAGATAGATAGATAGATAGATAGATAGATAGATAGATTTTCATGAGGATGAAATGAGGTGGAGTGGATGTGTGAACAGAAAGTGCACGTATAGCAGACACGGTTGTTTTTGGAGCACTCTGTTGTTTCACGAGCGGCCGCAGACAGCTAGGGCGGATCTTCGAAATCTCGCTTCTTCGTCAAGATGGGAGGAGAGCCAGTCGTCGGCTAACGCGGCGCCGCTAAGTTAGGCCGTGCTATACGTATGCAGCGCACTTTGTCAAAACGCGTTTGCTTCCTGGTATGAGAGCTTAACCAGAGAATTTTCTTACAAGCGCTCAAAATAGGTCCTGGCTTACGAATGGCACTGATTAACGCCGCCTGGTTTAAATGCAGAGATACACTCGATAAAGTGGACAGGAGCATGGCTGTCACCGTAGCTCAATCGGACGGGTTTATTCGAAGGTTGCAGCTTGGGCCCCTGCCGGCGGCAAGATATCCATTTGTCCATTTCAACTTCCTGATAATTTATATCACAATTACTACAGATAATATACTTTATACTTTCCTAGGCTCGATTATCTGTTGCTTCTCAATAATGATGTGTCTTACAAAGAAAAATGGGCCTCTAAAATTCTTTTGTGCAAAACAAATAAACTAGTATATAAACAGGCTAAGTTAACGCTACGCTAGACGATAATAATCCTATAGTTCACTACGCAGACCTCACCCAGCATGTCTGGATATTATCAACTAAAGCGTGAATCCCCATGTTTCTGATGATTTATGCTTTGTTGGTGCACAATCACATGGTCTGAATGTGGTACACTTTTCTCTGCAACCTCTTTTCTCCCCTTCATCCCTTCCCCAGTGCAGGGTAGCAAACCAGATGTTCGTCTGGTTAATCTCCCTGCCTTTCCTTGCACCTTTATCTCTCTCTCTCTCTCTTAGTCTCATTTTGCATGCATCGCTGCTATAGGGCATTTCTCCACCCTCTCCCTCTCTCTTTTT